CCATGAGGCAGTGATATACATTTTGTACATACATGTGTACATGAATCACACAAACAATATGCAACAATAGGTGACCAGTGTTTTGATTTAACAATTGTGAGATATTATGATCTATACATGCATATAAATATACATGCAATATTTGCACTGGGATGTCATATTCTCGGATAACCAATAACATGGTTATATCCTATAGAGAGCCTAAGCATTCTATCAAACTTCCCATTTGAATTATCAGTATTGACCGTGATGGCCAAATCTATGATTAAATCTATGTTCTGTGAATCTGTTAAAACACTTGTTTTCTACGAGTGTGGTTTATACAAGTCAGTAAAACATGACAACCTATGGCTCTGTGTTATATCAACCACTACTGGATATTAATACAGATAGATAGATAGCCATTCTACTGGGACTTTTCACTAATAATATCTCAAGCAAATAAAAAATTGATTTGATGTAGAAAATGTTTCCAAATGCTATTACATTTATACCATAAATCTGGATATACATGTATATAGAAGATTCTATATAGTTAGTCTATAAGAGTACATTGTACATACATACATTTGTTAGCATCCAGGTAAGCACATTAAATGATACATCTAGAACTATCATAGACATATTTAAAGGGCTAGTAGCAGTAATTTTCCTCCTTAGTAACCATAATAATTCAATGCCAGATTTTCCAATTTCAGAACTTATCAAACTATTTTCTTGGTAAGGATTTCATCTCAAGCTCTGATATTTTCAATAAAGAAGGTTTGTGTCCAAGACTGTGATTGGTCAACATTTGTGATTAGAGGGTAGTGAAGATTCTGGGTAAAATGTACTTCTAGTATACTGAACCAAGTATGTTAAGTATGTTCCAATTCTATTAAACAAAAGAATATGATGACAGTATCACAATTTAACAAGGCATTAACAAGCAAAATGTCACCACATGCCATTTGTTACAGATGCCAAACGCTGACCACCAAACACCAAACAACAAATGCCAAACACCATCTATAAAAAAGTTTGAGACTATAACAATGATGTCACCGCTTCTGGTAGTGACACAATAAGAGGTAATCTGTGGGTAAAAACATGTTCAGTATATAGAACCCACTTCCTGCATAGTTCTAGACACCATCGGTTAGGCAGCGTTTCATAACAAACATCTTTTACCAGTGAACAGAATACCATTTGAAATAACTGCAGTTAGCTAATAATAGACAACAGATGATTTCATCAAAACAACATATAAACACTACCTGAGTTTTCTACAAGGATCGTCTATTTATGGTGTTTTCACTATTACCTTTGTTAAACCGCATATTCCTCAATATCAATAAGAAATGAAGATAGGACTCTCAAAGAAATACCCCCAAAAGATTCATCATTTAGTTTCATATTAGATCAGTATTCTACAAGACTGATTGAATACATCTTTTAACCACCATGATAAACCATGACATCTCATTTCTTAGCAGTGTATCAGAATGTATTTCGACTGATATTCCACTCATGAAATCTATCAACAACAGATGGAGCTATGAGAATAAATGGCGCCTCAATTCAGTGATTCCATTTAGTTAATAGATCAATAGCAATCTAATTTCTCTTTTCATTTTATATTGGTGACTTCTGTCATGCAAGTTAGTTAAATCAGCTAATGTAATCATATAATCACACCCGGTGATCGTGAAAATGGGACGGAGGGGGGGAGCAAGCAATTTCTGGTAGAAAAATGAACAAATCTGCAAAAATTATTTTTTCAAGAAAAGGTTTATGATTTAATTGCTAAACGAATAGGCGCACGGTATGGTAAAATATGTCGCGTATTCTACGAATTTTTTTTAGCCGATTCTCTTCTTAGGTATAAGATCTATTAAAAAAGGCGCAACGCCACCAACGTGCAAAAGTCAATGTTTTTGCTTTAAATCAAGCATCAACGGTCTACACAGCCTGCAATAAATATTTGTAAGTGACATTATCATCATAAAAGTAATGACCTTAATGACTTTACAAAATACGTTTCCATACGTTGTATAAAAAATAATCGAAAATAATTAGAATGGGACGGAGGGGGGAGGGGACGGAGGGGGGGAGCAAAATGTCTATACGACATGATGAGAGATGTTACTTCACTTTATATCCAAATTTTCCCATTTTCTCCTCAATTACAATGGGTTAGGCACTGATAACAAGTTGTATTCGTAATTAGATTTATTTAGGATTATCAAAATCTTGGAGGGGAGCGCTTATCTTTTTATGTGTATAATAGTTTTTATTTTTTGAAGACTTATCATAAAAATGTAGACATCGCATCATATTTCTATTTGGACATGCAAGTTTTCGAGTAAGCAGTTACTAAAGTTGTTTCATTATTAACCTCGCTACCAGATATCTAGTATATGTTAATATTTTTGATTATGTTGGTCTTCAGCAGATGTAGAATTTAGACTAACTAATCTGCCAGGAAGTTTCCCAATTAGTGTACCCAATCATACCATGGGCACATCGCCTATTACGCCAAATACTGTACTGTACTTTGCATATATTTTCTCACATTAAGTGTAATATATGTATTTATTATGCAATATGCATCTCACATTTAGTGCAATATATGTATTTATTGTAACATTTGTCCTCGACCATATGCATTTTGCAATTCACATCTAGTGCAATATATGTATTTATTGTAACACTTGTCTTCGACCATATGCATGTGCAATTCACATTTAGTGCAATATATGTATTTATTGTAATATTTGACCATATGCAACATGTTACTCACATTAAGTGTAATATATGTATTTATTATGCAATATGCATCTAACATTTAGTGCAATATATGTATCTATTGTAACACTTGTCTTCGACCATATACATTTTGCAATTCACATTTAGTGCAATATATGTATTTATTGTAATATTTGACCAAATGGGTGACACTCACATATAAATGTATAATGTGTCTCATAAGTCGACACCGGCTGGTGATGTTACCATATCATATCTTATAGACATATTGCTCCCCCCCTCCGTCCCCTCCCCCCCCTCCGTCCCATTTTAATTATTTTCGATTATTTTTTATACAACGTATGGAAACATATTTTGTAAAGTCATTAAGGTCATTAATTTTATGATGATAATGTCACTTACAAATATTTATTGCAGGTTGTGTAGACCGTTGATGCTTGATTTAAAGCAAAAACATTGACTTTTGCACGTTGGTGGCGTTGTGCCTTTTTTAATAGATCTTATACCTAAGAAGAGAATCGGCTAAAAAAAATTCGTAGAATACGCGACATATTTTACCATACCGTGCGCCTATTCGTTTAGCAATTAAATCATAAACCTTTTCTTGAAAAAATAATTTTTGCAAATTTGTTCATTTTTCTACCAGAAATTGCTTGCTCCCCCCCTCCGTCCCATTTTCACGATCACCGGGTGTGATAATGGTAGTTTTTAAATCCTCTCTACAGGATAAAGATACGCAATGAGTATCAAATTACATTTTTGGCAATGATGAAACTCAACCACGGATGAAACTAACTGTATGGGAAGATTAGATTGTATTCTCCATTGAGTGAGTTTAGTTGGTATCATCGTCCAATCGACTTATCATCCAAGGCAAAGCTGTTTCTTTAAACGTCTCAGATTACGGAGATGTTTTAGCATTTCTTTGTTGTTGTTTATAATCGGAACTTTACTAGTTTGAATGACAAATTATTTGGAATCCAGATTTTACTTGGTGTAGATGAAATCGGAAGTTTATCTATATCAAATGAATTTTTCTACCATCTTCCTGCTGTGGACCAGCGTGGTAGGCATATTCTCAAAATAGTATCCAAGTACCGAAAATTAAATCAGCAGTGAATCCTCTTTGAAATCTTTTTTATTTTGTTATAACAATAATAACATTGATTGACTATTTCTAAAAAATAAGATAAAATCTAACCAGGAATAATACTTTTTTCACAATTTCACAGCACAGTATCCAATATAAAGGCATCATTCATCAACCACAATGAAACATGGCACTATTCAGTGAATCAAGCCAGCTCTTGGAAAACATGATCCAAATCTAAATTGAGCAAGTCATTATACAAGTGATACAGATGACCAAAGCTCCAACTTCTAGATAGTAGTCTAAAGGTAGTCTGAGCAGTGATATAGTTGTAAGCAGTCCACATTCCAGAGTAGATAAAAGATCTGATGAATAACTGAGGCATCAACAGGTGAATTCACCCTCTGTGCCCTCACACCTTGATGCTACTAAAGCAGCTGAGCTTTCAAACACAGGATCAAGCATTAAATATTTACATATTCAAGAAATTTTCATTTTTCATCGAAAAATATTACACCTCTATTCAAGATGGCCTTACGAAGATAATAGGTAATCCCTGCTATTCACTCACGATCTGATGCCACAGAGTCCGGATGTACTAATAGATGGAGGAATTTTGATGGTTGAAATAAGATGCAAAAATTGCTTTTAAAAACAAAATTTCTGAATCTGCTGATAATCCTAGAAAACTCAGGAATTTATTGAGGTGTGGTATTTTTGTCAGGTGTACATGCCAAAAAACCTCCCATATAGTAATTATGCAGAAAAAGTATATAAATGGTCACAGGACTATAGTCTTGGAACCAAATAAGCTGTCGCTTGTCCTCTAATGATGCAGTGTTGTTTATTTAGGGTAGATTTACCCTTCTATAAACTCTGAACACACTGATTATCTGGTATAAAGAAACCAAGTTAGAATGTATTGACACTGCCAAGGTTTATCAAATCGTCCAAAGCTTCATCGTTACACTGATCAGTCATTGTTGACAAACACTTGGAGAGAGAATCACTGACAAATGCCAACAAACAAACGTGAACTCGTTGGTGATGAATTAAAAATGTATACATCAACAATGACAACCATACATTCATTTAACTTTTTGACATATCAAATGCAACCACATGAGATATGAACACTTGTATAACGACCAAAATAACTCACCGATTTCCAGCGGATGAATGACCGGATTTTTTCCTATCATCGACTGGCTGTTTCTTTTTCTTTCCCCGCTTTTTCCGCGCTTGGATCGCCATTACTGGAAATATTAGGTATGAAACTTTACATAGATCCTAAAATAAAATTGAACCTTCAATGATTTAGACTATAAATCGGCGTAATTCCTACCTTTTCTCGAACTCATCGTTCTTTTTTACAAAAACGGATGCGCATGCTCAATAAGTGGTTCCTTTGCATGATGGGAAGAAATGCACCTGTTGACCCTGAAATTGAGGGACCTGTTATACTGTAATAATACTTTTATTTGTATGTATTTTTCACAGTTGAAGGAATTGGACCTGGAAACGATTTAATTTTATCGCTCAAATTACTTTACAAAAAAGAAATATTGATTGATCTTTGGTTGAAAGAGACAATATGGAGTGGAATGTGTATCAAGTGGCTATTTTTTAAATCGTGCTCGAATGATGTTTAGGTAAGACTGTCACAACCATGGGCTCTGGTAGAGCCCATGTCACAACTGATTCCCATCATCAATTTCATAATTTTAAGTTGGCAGTTTGGAGAAAAAACTATAAATTGAATCATCATAATGATCAAGGCGGGTGCTTATTCAGTTCAAGATGTCAAAAGGCAGGTTCAGAATATGCAATTTGCAAGAGTGTCACCGGGTGGAACACAGATGTTGGCCAGATTGTTTTGTAGTAGGATCATAGGCTCAAAGAATAATTCATTGAGCCACTGATTTTACTACAAAATAATCTTGCCGGGATCTATGGGGTGGAAGGAATGGAATTTGTAATTTGCACACATGACTATGTGATGGCTAATTTGATGCACTTGCGTTTGCATCTTAACCTATGCACGGGGGTAAAGCAGACCCAATGATGCAATGAGCTTGCTCGGCGGTATCATGACTGTGTAACGGGTCTTGATGTATAAGTGAGCTCGGCGGTAGGTTCAAACAACGCGGATCCTAGTCAAAGCATGTGCTCATGGTAGCATCGTGGCTTGACACCCGTGCTATGAATTCGGTCTACCGCTCTCATTCAAAGTTTTGATACAAGACATTTGGTTCACAAAATCATTCACAATTCATTGGGCCATTGGCTTAAATCCTTAACCAGTGTATACAACCACGGCGCCTTTTTTATCATCAAGAAGTGTTCTAACTTGATGTGACTTATCACAGATGAGGGATGCTCCATATTGATCTTCTTTCTGATCCAACGCGATGAGATGTCATACCACGAGTTCGCCATGGTGTAGAACTTGCTGTGCATGTAATATATCATTAGGTAAATGGTAAGATCATGTAATCTCGAGCTAGTACATCTCCACATAATATAGGCAATAAACTGTTAAAATAAACAATCAGCGGAAATAAAAATCTTCACTCTGGAAGTTTAGATTTGGGGGTATCTATTAAAGAAAACTAGAATTTAAAGTTATAATCAACTCACACACCTTTAGCTGTTTAGCTGTTCACTTAAAAAATTGACTGATATTTCACATGAAATGCTTTCCATTGTGTTATAGAAATAGAGAAATACGAAATCGAAATACTGCCATCTATTTTACACAAAATAACTTACTTACACCTGAAATGAGTCTTGTCTTTTCAATATTCTTGGAATGCCGTGTGTTGCGTAAATTGGATTATTGATCCGACATTTCTCACTTCATAAGTCAATTTGAAATCAAACTATTATCCTATGTAATATTATTTGCTTTATTTTATATAATGAATGTATAAATATTCAAATGTCGTATTATAGATGCAAATAAATAATACATACAACACAAACGTAATCTCGTAGGTATATCTTTGCAAAGCTAATATCATCTTTATGTACGATATGTTTTAAACCTCACAGATTTCACACCGTTGGTACCTTGCGTTGAGAAAATTGACTAGAATTCACATTACAACAGTAAAAGGCATAACATAAATCAAAGAAAGGATAGTGACAAATGAAACTGTCAGCAATTAAAACATTAAATTATGTCCTATAAAAGTGCATGATTGAAATCCAACTTATTGTAATCCAAATATTTATGTTCCTTTGAGCACTACTACTTTCAATTCATAACAGTAAGTGCGATGTGAAAAATCTCTCATTTTCTGAAATTTGCTGTATCTTTTTAATGCCGAAATCTTCTATATCATAATGATTCTACCACACGAGATCTGTGTCACTTTATTTATTTTTTCATATACACGATGGAATAAGACGATGAGTTAAAAGGAACTCGATACAGCTTTAAGTCAGAAACAACACGATTGAACTGTAAAACCTCAAAAGGTCAATGTTATCATATTTTAACCCCGTGAGATGGTGCACACCCCTTCCTTCCAGGTCCATCCAACGGTCTTGGAATATATCGGAAAAAGAAGAGAAAGGGAAATCACGTAAAATGATTTATATGCAGTGATAAAAATCAGAATAGAAATGAAAATCAACAGGTGGAAATCTGATAAATAGTTATCCTTCAAGATCGGTCCTTCACTGTTTTCATAGCAGATCATGTAATGCAATGAATTACTCTTGGGCCAAGGATGATAAATAGTTAGATTCTCATCTCTATCGCCCTGTGGGGCGCTCGAGTTTTGAAAACCCTCAACAAAACAGTTGCTAAAGGAAGAGGCATCTCTTTAGAATCGCTGAATCATATGAAACATCTCAATATTTTTAATGTTAATGGTCTCTTTGGAGTGCCATTGATTATTCAAATATTTTTTAGTTTTATTCATATACCTGCATCCCACACCTGTATATTCGAACAACTCGATAATCCGAACAGTTTCCATTGTGAACACACTTTTGTAAGAGCCTTGCAAAGATGGACATCTCCACCCTGGAACCTCCACGTCCTCCAAGCATTCGGTTTAGACATGTAAATATTTTACAAAGGTGATTGCGATTTGATATAGATATTATGTTCTTTGTTTTATTTCATTCCTTTTTTTATTTTTAAAATGAGGTAATATCTACATAGCACAATAAAATGGCAATCAACATACAGTAGGTTCTTTGAAAGTTTTATTTTGTTTGGGGTCACCTCAGAGAAGGTATCAAATGTTTCAAATGTAACATTAGAACACTCGGTCATACAGCATATACGATTAAATATAGCCAAAATTTCTTAAGAACTACAATATGCCAAATACTATTATACGTCTTAGTCATTATGGATTTGCAAAATACAGGGTGTCAAATAAGTCCCGTCCCCCCCTCTACAGCCAAAACCAAGATATTTCGTACCAAGTGTGATATATCATTGGAAAGGTCTTCCAAAGTTACGTTGATTGGCATATATCTGAAACATGTCAATCAATCTCACAAATTTTTACATTTTATCAATTGAGGTGACCATAGGCCTAGAAGCATGGCAATTAGGCGTATTTGGCAGGATTTTAAGAATCGGGTTTAAGAAAGGTCAAAGGACCAAAAAATGACTAAATATGTATATGGCAATGAATTTAACCAATTTCTGCATAGGGTTAGATGTGTGTAAAATAGAGGTGTAAGGAAAGTGATGATAACCTTTTTGTAGCAGGTGGAATGCGAAAATCATAAACTTTTTGACGTATTTCTGAGGTCATATCCTTGTCATTTTGACCCCAAAAAGCTGCTTAAATGAGGGCACGTTAACTATAAAGGACATCATAAAAATATAGGTAAATTTTATTCAAAATAGTTGAGATTTGGTGAGTTAACATAACTTTGGATGATCTTTCCAATGGTATATCACACTAGGCACCATTTATTAAGGTTTTAGCTGTAGCAGGGGGGACGGGACTTATTTGACACCCTGTATCTTATTGTAAGTCCGTTGTCTCAGGATTTCTGCCAGTTACAAATGTACTTATAATTGTTTGTGACTTTAGTTGGCTTTCTGATGGCACAAGTTAACAATATGGTACAACAGTAAAGTAATAATATTTATATACTAGTACAATACAAAACTAAATACCAACTAGACTAAACTACAAAAACGCAAGCTTAATACTAGTACATCTAGAATATAAGTGTTTTCATAAGCCAGCTTTTTAAATCTAACATACATTAATCATACATTTTTTGTAACCATAACTTCAATATCACAGATGTGCTTGTATATATACACTGAGTCCCAATAATTAAACCAGTGATGATAACATCAATTTCAGTTATTTTATCATGAATCCACATGTTTTTTCTTTCCAATGGTATGTCATTTATTCATATATGACCACAGACCACTGAATAATCATTCCTTTTGCACAACGGGCCAAAATCTGCTCTGGACCATGTTTTAGACATTTGAACAGTTAACAGAGAATCACGAAATGAGGTTGCTGCTCTCTTCAAGAACCCACCGATGATTCGAAGAGGTATTCGTGACATGGGGAGACGAGCCAATCTCTGTGTAGTGAAAAACTTCGTTGCTAAGGGTTTCAGTAATCACGTTTTGTAATAACAACTGTTTGTCTTCTGCACAATTTAAGCCACATTTTTTGGGAGAATCAGGCCAATAATATTTTTCTTGAAAAGGTTGCTTTCTGGCGTTAATGGTCTGCTAGTCCACAGCCCACGACCATGACATTGAGAGAAGCAAGCATAGAAATGAGGAAAATATTTCGATCTCTAATGGAAGGTTCTGTAGCAGAGACTCTATATGTAGCCTTTATTTCATTGTCATTCCAATTCGGCGTACTTGTACATGAATCCCCAACATATTCAGGGTGGTCCGTACTGCTCACCCGGCACATAAAGTTTGCACCAATGTCTTCATAGGACACATCAAAAGTTACATTTGTAGTTGCAATATGAGCATCTTTACTACTTGTATTATATGCTACGGACACATTTGTGTAAGTCTCTTTGCCATTACGGAACCATTGTAATGTTGGTTTTGCAACACCAGCGTATCTGATTTTACACATCAATGTTATACTTTCCCTACTGGTTCTGGTATTGTCACAAGAAGGCGTTTCATAAACAGTGACATAGGCAGGGTATCTTTGTTGTTCTTGAAATGTTTGACAGGTGTATTTCCCAGCATCCTCAAAAGATATATTGATCACATTTAAGTTATATTTCGCTTCAGTGGTATCAACCACAAACTTCTCCGAGTTCTGAACTATATCTGGCTGATATGACTTAAATATTTGGAATCCATTCTCCTTTGTGTTGAACTCATACCATGAAACGTATTCATTTGTTACTCCTTCTGCCAGTTGGCATGGCAATGTTATATCATTCCCAATGTTTGTGATCACATCAGATGGCTTAACTGCTATATTGTCAGCATAAACAACGCACGCCATTGCAAATGCTACGATTATCATCTTGACTATTGGAAGTCGTACAGTTTTTGAATGTGCTTGCTTTGAGACGTTAAATTCAAAATAGTGTCACAATGACATGTTCAACAGCATTAAATCAATGAATAGACGGGGTATGGTATTCACATAGTTCAAATTAGTCTTAGGCACACGCATAAAGAGGTTTCTTTTGTCAAAACTGTATTTATTTGTAGTAGGTTTATTTTTGAAACCAGATCTAAACAGACTAAAATAGTCACTAGAGTATATTTTTGAAACTTTGGAATGGAACCGGAGGATACATATTCTAAATATTCTTAGCAACTGTGCTATAAGTATGTTTATATGCCATTAACCAACTTAAAATATTAATAATGTTATACAGTAAAACCTGTCCGATGGAACGCCTTTCTGTAAGAATCACCCGCATGTACGGACAGATCCATTCTCTTTATCCCCCGAACTTCGTTCGATGGGATATAATTATATGCTAATTTGGCAATTTGTGTTTTCTTGGTTGGCCCAACCCTCCAACCCTCACTCACTGTAGGGAACATCTGTTTACAAAGAAATGTTTTGGCCAGTCCGGAGAGCGTTCCTTTTAAGAAGGTTTTACTTTACTAAAAGATTTTGATGAGTTAACTTTTTTTTTAAAACTAGATGTCAGCCAATGTCTTAAATCAGAACTGAATTTCTCTACATAGGCTAGGGTATCAAACAACAAGTATTTATACTTGGATATAAACATGTAATAGGGATCTGACTTATTTTTGTATAACAACTTAAAACTTCTTTAAATCCGTTGCTCCTTCTTTGATCTTCATACACCAAACTAGTTATCCCAGTTTTGAGTTTCATTGTTTTGATCTCAACTTCATCATCTGATATTAATCTCAAACCAATGTTTAAAGGAAATATATTCTGGCAGTAACACATTAGTGTACATGCCTGATGCTCTTTGGTCTCTTGCACCCCCCCCCCTAAAAGAAATGCTCTTCAGACAATTTTGATAAACCATTTAGGCATAATTTTGATTAAATATTAGCATTTTTGGCAATTTTAAAAGCATCCCCTTCATAATGTGACATCATTGGCAATAATAGTGACCTTGACCTTCATGTTACCCAAGTTTATAATGCATCCCCTGGGAATGGTAAAATATGATACTCACATATATAATGAGATAATATAAGCCTTTGACATTTCATTTGACCTTGGGTCAAAAATGTGACATTGGCCTTCCATGTCCGGCATCGGTAGAGCTCGGTGGATTTTTTGGTGCCACCGAGCTCTCCTCATCGGAAGCAGAGCTCGGTGACGTGAACGGACTCCGTCCGGACATCTTCAGGCGACCGACCGAACACCGGCCGGTGACCGTACGGAGTCTGTCTCAAAATGGTAGTTTTTTTCTGCCGATGTGGCAGCAACTACCGGCCGGAGGTCGGCCGGACATCGGAAGGAATACGGCCCGTACCCGAGCAGGTAACAGGACACCGTGCGATCGCCGGCCGGGTTGTTAACGGGCTTTGAACAGTGACCGGCCGATGCTCTGTCCCACATCGGTCGGAGCTCGGCCGCTGTCAGTTAAAAAACCTCGTCCTCTGCTTGTCTCAGATGCACGGGACACCGGCCGATACTCGGCCGTGCACCGGCCGACGTGTTTTCCGATGTGGTTACGATGGGGCTGCGATGACATGATGAGGGAGCTCGGTGAGAGCTCGGTGAAATTTAACTCCGAAGTTAAAATTTCACCGAGCTACCACCGATGCGGTTTTAAGCAACAAACGCCACGGATGTCCGACCGGTGTCCGGCCGGTGTTCGGCCGAGTTTGGTGAAAATTGCATCGCTGGCTCATCGTAACCTCATCGGCCGGGCTATGTGACTAGGCCATTAGTCAAACAGCAAAACATGTATACATTTCCAATGTTATATTTATTTTTTTGTAATGTTGATGAGCCATTTAAATAAAATTGTACTTTACTATCCATGACATCCATAAATATAATGTTGTATTCTTCAGTCAACCTTATTTTACATTTCATATTACAATTTTTACAACAAATAACTGAGGATAAAACATATGCACTGGTATATAGTATGTGTGTGTGTTATAATTGGCCAGTATTTTCATTTTGGCTGCTACGCAACAGTATTTCCTTATCGGTCTGATCACTACTGGCAAACAGGAATAAATATATTTAATAAATACAAATTATACAAATATTGATGAGTTTACTTGTTTTTGTTTTATATGCACTAAATAATCAAAATAAATAATTCATAATTGATTTTAGATTAAACCTTGTATCTTTTTGACTGTAATGCTTTGGCATGGACCTGTACTTTTGCATTATTTATATTATGGAAATAAATTAAAACATTAACTTAAACAATGAGTACTTGAGCTAATATAGTAAGCCAACTTGGTATGAAATTCCTAAGTTTCAAAATCCATTTTGATTCTACTCCATTGTGTGCCAGCATTAATATCCATAAAATACATTCTTGACAACCTACCCTGTATGCCACTGTAGTGCTATATGAAGTTTTTCATTGGTAAACTATAAGATTATAGCTATAAAATAAGGTAAATGCCATCAAATGCTATATACAGGGTGTCCCAAAAGTAACCAGGCTCATGGTGCCCTTTTGTTAATACTTCACTGATCCGTAAAAACTCTATAAACTAAGAGCTTACATTTCTTATTCTTAAGAGCACAGAAATAGGTTTTCACTTAAAAAAGTGTTGACAAACACAAGTTTCACTGTATCCAAATGCTTTCCATTGTGTTATCGCAACTGAGTCATCATTTTGACTTACCCGAATTTTCCATTATTATGAGAATTTCAAAATCTGCCATCTACATAACTGCCATCTATTTTACATAAAACAACTTACTTCCACCTGTCATGGATTAGTAAATATTTGTACTACAAATATGTTCTTTGGTACAAAATAGATTGTGTTCCACATTTAGTAAAAATATGGACATATTTGAAAAGATAAATTGTAATGCAAATTGCACGTTCTCCCAAAATACAAAAATAACGTATCCTTACTAAAATATCAATAGATGTAGAATGCAATCATTTATATCTGTATAAAACAGAAGTATCCTACCCAATATAAGGTAATATAATCATATAATTACAAATAAAAGTAATATACCGTATTATGCTCACAAAAAGTTACCCCATCTTACAAAAGTAGTCTACCTTACTAATTTTGTAGCTTTAGTATCCCCTTTCCAAAGTATATATAAATAAGAATATAATATAGATTTTTATATATAATATACATGTAGTATTTAATGTGAGAAATTGATTTGTCCAAAAAGTGAGTGTTCATTTAAGGAGTGGTGTCCCACTGATTACAGTTGTGAAAAAAACTGTTGTGGCTTCACCCCCTCCCCCTCTCTGTTTGAATAACCTTTATTGGACACCATCACGAAGAAAAGTGTCTGACGGACCTGGATAGGTCTTTCAACTTCACATATTGCACATTGAAAATTGCATTGCATAGTGATGAGAATCCAGTAGAGTAAAAAAGCAAAATTAGCTAGAATCAGAGACTTAGAAGTCACAAAATCGCAAATAATGTCAATGTGTCTTTTACAAATTCAAATGAAAGACAAACTAAAAGATGCATATCTTGCGAAATGGCAAAGTTATCTTAATTTAAATATGTGTACATGAATAATCTAAAGATAATACATGTCAAGGAATGTTATAAGGCAAAAAGATATTCAGAAAGTTTCTACCTCTGATTCTGCCTTAACCCTTTCACGATGATAGGCTATTAAGTAATAGTAAATGTGATAATCCTTATTAAAAATTGTATTTCAGTGATAACATTTAAAGTTTAGGTCCCAGGGTTACGTCATTTCTAGTTTTTACCTAAAAAACGCTCTTACTTATCAGACACAAGGCCAACATTTTCCTCTCATATTCACATCGGGAAAGGCTTAAATTTGAGTTTTCAATTAGATAATATATTAATTTGAATAAATAAAAGAATATATTCAAGTACATATGCTAAAAACATACATTTCATTGTGCATATTATTCATAAAACATTAATTCCCAATAAAAAATAAATGAATGTAATCCCTATAACAGTCTGTATAAATAAATCCAGTTATAGTGAAGACTTAAACATTTCTGTTCCTTTGAGCACCTTTATTACTTCATCTTCAGTCATTATACCCAACTTCAGTAACGCTGTGATAAGTTGTTGCCTTGCATTTCCTATGAACTGGTTAGCTAGGAAAACAGGCAGACCCCGCATTCCATCCCCCATGGTATAGAGAGGCACACGTAGAGCACCCATTACCTGAAAAATACAAGTACCAAAAACAGTTACCTAAAAGTCCCCATAATAAGGTGCATAGGAGTGCCAGTAAGCTAAAAAACTATAACAATATGTCACCACTGCTGGTGGTGGCATAAAAAATAGATAAATAACATGTAAGTTTGGGAATATGAGGTGATATTTTTTTTACAACCATAAACGGATTGTTAACTTCTACTCACTCAAGACCAGCGATATTATTGTATTGTAGTATAATGTAGTATTATATTGTGTTGTACTATATTGTATTGTAGTATAATGTAGTAGTAGTTTCCGATATGTATTCGATATGTAATCAATATACTCCAGAATGGTTTAAAGCCAGGATATACATGTAGGTCACAGTTTCAAAGACACTTCAGTCAGATAAAATGACTGTATAATTTAGACGGATCAGTGACTAAATAAGTTATATAAGACGTTTAATTATATTATAAATTCAAGTAAGAATGTATAATACTTCTACGCATTTAAGACGTTATCAGCAGAAGTACACTATATGCAATCATTACATTATATTTTCAGTATGTCGGGATGTAAGATGTAAGATGTTGAATGTTAATTAACATATTTACGTATTATAATGATATATAAAAATACGACCATTACCACACATTTAAATATCGCTTGCTGGAACGTTCAGGGAATTGAAAGCAAAGTAAGGAACAAATTGCACGATAATGATTTTATCAAAGAATTAATAACACATGATATAGTCTGTCTAACCGAAACACATGGTGATGAAAAAGACCCGATATGTTTTGATAGAGTTAAGGGCTTGATTTGATTTGATTTGAAAACTATATTTATTCTGGGTAGCTCTATCAGTACAAAAACTGGTCTTCCTAGAGGCCCAGTAATAATTTACAATTATTTACAATGTGTACAATAAATATAGAAACATACAAATAGATATATAGGACATATAGAACAATTTGATATATAAGCATCTTCAAAGTATGCATTTACATGAAACATAGAGAACAACTTATAAGAGAATTACATGAATATAAGGAACAATGTCTTTAAATAATGCATTTACATGATTTTCATTTTCTGATCTGATACACTTGTTTATATGCTTTCTTAAAAGAGTTTACAGAATCAGACTCTTTGACAGTCTTATCAAGCTTGTTCCAAAGATGTGAACCACTGTATGATATGCTTTTCTTAAATATTTCAAGTTTTGGTTTTGGTACATAAAGTGAATTTTCCACAACTGCTCTAGTGGCATAATTATGTATGGACTTTGTCTCTTTGAAACAGTTTTGAATATATGGGGGAGAGATGCCTGAAATGGCCTGGTACATTAAAATTGATTTCCTATATCTAATCATTTCCTGAATTGGAGTCCAATTTAGGGACTGAAATAAAGTGACACTTGAAATATCAAAATTAGCTCTCAGTATAATTCGTGCTGCCATCTTTTGAAGTTTCTCTAGTCTAGTCAGATAGATTTTATTAGAACATTCTCCCCAGACAATTGAGCAGTAATTAAATTCTGGTAATATGATTGTATTATAAATTGTGATGAGTGCTTCCTTTGAAACAAATGGTTTAAGCCTTCTTAAAATACCTATCTTACAAGAAATCTTTGAACAAAGCTTTTCAATATGTACTTTGAATGCTAATTTGTCGTCCACAATAACACCTAAATATTTATAAGTTTCAACATTTTCAATCACATTATTTGATATTGTTATGGTATCTTCATCATTTCCATACTTTGAGGTATTTCCTATTTTCATTAATTTTGTTTTACTATAGTTTAAATTCATCTTATTACATTTCATCCATTCATCAATACAGTTAATATCATTTTGAAGTAGTGTATGAAGAGATGGTACATCACAAGTTGACCTAGTTAAAGTAGTATCATCTGCAAACAGTCTGATGCAACCATCTTGGCTGCCTACCTTGGCTAAGTCATTAATAAAGATTATGAAGAGCAAAGGTCCAATTATCGATCCTTGTGGAATTCCCAAAGAGACAGATGCTTCTTGCGAAGGTGTATCATCTAAAATAACAGTTTGTTTCCTATTTTTTAAGTAGTGTTGAAACCAAAGTAAACTTTTACTGCCTACACCATACAATTTTAACTTTTCTAGTAAGATCGAATGATCAACAAGATCAAACGCCTTACTCAGGTCTAAAAATATAGTTCCCGTTAATTTACCTTCGTTAACATTTTTTAGCCATTCATCACATAAAGAAAGAAGTGCTGTCTCTGTAGAATGGTGATCTCTAAAACCTGATTGCCATATTGAAAATAGGTTGTTGGCTTTAAAATACTTATATAATTGATTATGAACAGCCCTCTCTAGTATTTTTGATATAATAGGAAGTATTGAAATAGGCCTATAATTATTAGTTTCATATTTGTTGCCTTGTTTGTAAACAGGCACTACTTTGGCATGTTTCCATTCATCAGGGATTTCACTGGTGTTTAATGACATGTTAATGATAAAGGTCACATATGGTGCTATTATATTACTGGCTAGCTTCAATAATTTACAGCTGATACCATCAAGTCCAGTGGCTTTGGATAAGGTCATGTCCTTAATTGTTTTGATTACAAACTCACAAGTAACTTCTTGGAGCTCAAATGAGGTATTATGTTGATTAATATAATCAAGTGGGTTTTTTCCAGTCTGTTGAATCTTTTTAGATATTGTTGGTCCTATATTGCTGAAAAAGTTATTGAAGGCATTGGCCACTTCATATGGGGAGGATATTTCATTTCCTTCAACAATTAACGATTTTTGAGTTTCTTTCATTTTCTGTGGCAGTAGAGTTTTTAAGCACTTCCACATGTTAGAGGGTTTATGCTCGTTCGTTTTAATTTTGTCTTTATAGTATTTTGCTTTAGCTTCTCTGATTAGGTATGTTACTCTGTTCCTTAATCTATTTGAATTTCTCCTATCATCTTCACTTCCCGTTGCATCTGCAACTTTCTTGTAATAATCTCTCTTGTTCATAAGTTGTAGAATTTCATCATTAATATATGGCTTTGAACCTGCTTTCATGCGCTTTTCAACAATTGGTGCATGTTTGTCTACTACCTCCATAAACAGGCACTTAAAGCTCATCCAGGCACTATTTACATCATTACATAATTTGATATCACCCCATGAGACTTTATTTAAGTCACGCTCAAAGTCATTGTGATTAAAATGTTTGAACCTCCTATACTTTAGTGTTTTATGTGTATATTTTACATTCCTGGTTGGTCGCACTGTGGAAACTATATTGTGATCGCTTAAATTACAGCTAGTGACCACTGCTGGGGTGTATTTCTCAGGGTTGTTAGTCAATATCCAATCAATAAGTGATATACTGTCGCGAGTGATGCGTGTTGGGTGAGACACAATTTGTGTTAGATTATGAAGTTCACTTAAAAACAATAAATCCTTTGTTGATTTTGATAAGGTATCTGTATTCAGATCACAGTTAACATCACCCATAATAATTATTTCTTTATTTTCAGCGTCAGCTCTATTTAATGATTCAGATAAAGTGTTCATATAATTTTGATTTGAGGATGGAGATCTGTAGAGTGATGAAACAAGTATTGGCTTAATAAATTTGGGTCTTAGTTCAACCCATACCATGTCCAGATCATTAAATTGTAGATCAACTCTCTGTACATATTTAATATCCTGAGAAATATATATACATACCCCCTTTGAATGTCTATTATTGTCCTTCCTTACCATCGTATAGCCTGGAATGTCTATTTCAGAATCATGTATTGAATTATCAAGCCATGTTTCACTTATTGTGATGATGTCATATGCATGTTTTTGATGTAGGCATCTCAGTTCTTCAATTTTAGGAAACAGACTTCTCACATTATGATGACATAATTTAATTCCACTTATGGTTTTATCTTTCATTAATGGGGTAGTAGTGTGTAGTGTGTCCCTGTGTGACCTCTCCTGGAGGTCAACATATTTCAAAGTTGTGGCTAGAAAGAATCTAATATCTAGATAATTAGTCAGTCTGCTAGTACTGTAGCACTCACATAAATAATTCTCTGAGCCCTCTTCATTGCTGTATCCCTAGGCACAATTACAAGGACACAATTTACTTTTGTGCCCCAATTCTCCGCAGACGTAACATTTAACTCTCATTAAACAATTTCGTGCTTGATGATTTGTCTCTCCACAGCAGTAACAAGGGTTCTTTATGATTGATTTTTCAGGGAGATGATTGTTATGATACTTTTTATTATTGACCTTCATGGTTAAATTTTTCAGTTTCTCAGTTCCTGCTATGTTAGGGTGGATGTTATCTCTGTATAGATCTGGTCTTATCTTATTGTTTTGGTCTACAAAGACCACATCATTGTCTTTGTATATAATGTTTCTGTATTGCTTGGTGAGATGCCGTAACTTTTTGTTTGTTTCCCTTACTTTGATATCTACATTTACATCATTTTGAACTGGTAGCACTCCACCAATTATGATGTTTATTTTTGGACTTACTTTTTGAATGTCCTTGATGATTTTTTCCATTAGCTCCATGCACTTATCAGGAGAGTCACGATCAGACCTTATGTTATTGACCCCACAGTCTATGATGACATCTGAGAACATGGTGTTGTCATATAGCATATCGCAAATCCTTCGATTTACATCTTGAATCCTATCTCCAGGGTTAGCTATTATCACATATATATTGTCGTCAATGTTCTGAACATTCTTTAGTCTGGAATCACCGATCCACAATACCTTTTTGGATGCTGTTGAGGTTTTGAGTGATGCTTGGGCTGTTTCTACCTGAGTTTTGTTTCCCTGATCTGGATTTTGGGTTTGTTCATATTCTTCAATTAATGGCTCAAATCGGTTAGAGGTTGATATCTGTGACTGAAAATGTTCATTTACTGATAGGACTGTTTTTACGGCATTGGGTGGGGTTAACTCCATTGGTGGTGCTGTTGGGGTTTTAGGTGATGGTATTTCCATTGGCGGTGCTGTTGG